TGTTGGCTTGGCATTGAATTTCAATGAACTTACCGAAACGAGATGAGTTGTTGTTCTTAACAGTCTTGGCATTACCAAAGGCCTCAAGCATTGGATTCAATTGGATCAATTGGTTCTCAATATCACCCATAGCTGCATTTGATCTTCCAGCAATGGTAGCAATGTACTGAATGACTCTCTTGGTGTTTTCAGTCTTACCAGCACCAGACTCTCCAGTGATCAAAATGGATTGATTTCTGAATTGAGCAGACAAGTCTCTCATTTGAGTCAATGCACCTTCGGCAATAGCATAGACGTGTGGAGCAACTTCTTCTTTTCTTCTTCCAGTGTACTTATTGATCATGAAATGAGTGTAGATTGGGAAGAACTGATATGGATTGATCACAACACAGAAAAGACCCGAATAAGTGTGGATGATGTCTTTCATGTATCTCAGCCTTAAGTTATAAAGGACAGTAGCTTCAGACAATTGAGTCAACTGTGACATATCATCAACACCATCAAACTTAGATGGATTTCTGCTGTAACATTCTTTCTTGGCAATTTTTATTTCACCGGCGTCTGTTTCAAGAATGTAATTGTCACCTTGTTCTGACTTGATTTGAGCAGCTAAGAACTCTTGGTATTCAGTCTCAATTTCCATGCCATTTGGCACCAATTTCAATTTTTGGTCTTGGTGCCGGGTTGTTATACCATACCCATCCAGTGGTCACACCTCTGTAGTCATCCGGGAGCTTGTAAATCATATACTTCAAGTAATCGTCGTTGGATCCTTCACCAAACGCGTTTGCCATTTTTGTATTTTTTTAGAGAGATGCCAACTTTTATTTGGACTCTATATTTCTAATTGAGGATAATCTCATATAATCAAACTCTTCAGTTCTTTGAATCGGCAAACTAAAATTGGTGTAGTGGTCTTGTTTGTTTTTTCTGGATGGAAATAAACGGGAATACAAACTAAATAAAAGGATACTTAACACAATGTGTAAGTCCAGAGAGTATACTTTTTGTTTTGAAAATATTAATTATTTGATGTTTTTTTGGACTGTTCTCATGTAAAGTAATTATTTCTTCTAGTGGACTTTATTTATTAATCCAAAAATGTTTTTATTTTTAATTGTCTTTTTTCTTAAAAAATGTACGGTATTTTTAAATAAAAAATCGGGTTTGGAACCGAAAAGTATACACAGAAATGGAAAAAACTTTTTGATATTTATGTATAAAATGTTCAGTTATGAAGTAGTGGCATGAGCCAATTACTTAAATTAATTTCAAGGTAATCAACTTAAATTAGTTATAAATACGAAACACAACTGTTGAAAAAAGCTTTTTTTCAATTCAAGTATTTTTTGTTATTAATGAAGAAAAAACGAATTAAAATATTCAATATTCAATAATATTTGAATACATCTTATACAATTTAGATATTACTTCGATGTGATATGTTTTTATTGATTAATTATTTTTTACATATCGAGTATAATCTTTTTAAATAACAGTTAAACAACAAAACTCGTTTTTTTAATAAAAAACATATTATATAAATTGATATGCGTCAAAGTTGTTAAAATAACAAAAATCATAACTAAATTAATAAAACAAAAGTCGTTTGTAATAATATTTTGAATTGTATCAAAAATTAAAGTGAGAAGAACATCGTTGGTTATAAAAACAAATGTGAATTAAAACAATGAACACTTGTTTTTGTGACTTTTGTGAGACTTGCTGTTTTCAATTTGACTTGATTTGGTCACATAAGCTCGTACAGCTTCTTCAAACACCAATTTCAAATTTTGTTGAGTAAGGGCAGAACACTCGAGGTATTTGACCGCTCCAATTTCTTGTGCTGTTTGACTTCCCCTTTCTATAAAAATGGGCTCAATTCCCATATTTCTCATTTTTTCAACACAATTTGGATCTTCTCGTAAATCCATTTTGGTTCCCACAAGTATTATTGGAGCATCGGGACAATGCTGTTCTACTTCTGGTTTCCACTTTCCAGATATATTATCAAGAGACGCAGGTGATATCACAGAGAAACACAAAAGAAAAACTGATGTTCCTGGGTAAGAAAGAGGTCTCAAACGATCATACTCCTCTTGTCCAGCAGTGTCCCAAAGTCCCAAGTTCACTTTCATATCATCAACCATTAGAACAGTATTATAATTTTCAAATACTGTTGGAATATATTCGTTTGGAAATACATTCGACGTAAAACTGATGAGGAGACAAGTCTTGCCAACAGCTCCATCACCAACCACAACACACTTTACAGGTCTCATTCAATGTTTAATTAAAAGTTATTTTATCCTTAAATTTGTGTAATCTTCCCGTTTCTATTTATAAAATTATTATAATATTAAATATATTAGCTAAACATTTAATAAATTTTTAAACGGGAAAGTCTATTATTTTATTTTATTTAACTTTTTTATTATAGATTAGTTTCAAAACACTTGTTAAAATACTTTTTGAAAAATTGTATAAAAATAATTTTTATCAAGAAATCTTCGATGCAAAATGTTTTTTAAAACAGGGGGGCTAAAAAACGGTTTCCGTTTTTTTTACCGCTTCCTCTTGATTTTATAGATTTAAATAATATTAATATAATAAAATGTATAGTACTGTTTACCATGAAGGCTGAATATGCCTCGTGGAGACTTTTTCTGTCCGAGGTGGTAATTTGTATCATACTTTTTAATATAAAGTTATTAGTTATAACTATTAAATCAATAGGAAGAGGTTAAAAAGACGGAAGCGGTTTTTTATCCTCACTGTATACCAAAAATATGTAATAATTCTTTTTGAAATAGACAAGTTAAGTTTTGTTTACCCAAATGGTTTTGTTTTCAAAAAATACAATTTAAAAATCCTAATAATAATTTCAAAATATCGTATCACGATGTTAAACTTTATTTTAATATTTATTAATTTCATTTAAGTTAAAGCGTAACAAACACACACTTATTATATCTTATCAACTTTTTTGTATAGATTTTTAATTTAATCTATTTTACTTAATTAAATAAGATTAATTAAAAAAGGTAGAAATCCGAATTTTAATACGAATAAATTTCAACTTTAAGAATAAATAGCAAAAAAAATTTTTCAATCTAAAATATTAACAAATTTTAACAGAGTTATTAGTTTAAACATAACACTTTAACAACAAAAAATTATCCTTAAAATTGTTTGAAAATTCAATCCCACGTTTTTTAATATAAATTGTGTTAAAAAAGTCTCAAAAATTAATGTTGATCGTTTATTTGTTCGTTACTGCCACTTTTTCTTATGACGTTTATATCTCCACCAATGGACATAATACTAAGGATGATAATGTCAACCAAGTATTTCAAACTCTCCAAGCCGCAATAATGTCATTTTCTGATAAAGAACTGCCTTCAGATAATATTAATTTCAAAATATTTGAATAACACAAAAAATGTACCAATTACTATTTCAAGTCTTTACCCAAACAAACGGGCAACTTTCGTTGGAGGAACACCAATACCTATCAACTGTTTCAGAAATTTGGATAAAACAAAGACTCAAAATCTTTCTTTAAAATCTTACAAACCAGTAGACCGAATGTTAGAGTATGCGAACTCGATTCATTAAAAAATGTTGCCAATATTCTTCCAATGTCCGAGACAAAAACAAATGAACTTTTTGTTGATGATCAAGAATGACAGTTGCACGATACCCCAACAAAAATTACACTCCAAAAGAACAGAAAGTTGACTTTATTTATCTCAGAACACTTTCATATTTCCCAGACGTATCTGGGTATTATAGACCAACAGACTTTGTTTGTAATGACAAAATTGTTTATTAAAAGACGACTTCAGTCGAAAACAAAAATTACTTTATTTATAATACCAATGGAACATTTTATCTCTCATCTTTAAATAATTGTATAGTTTTAACGGCTTCTGATGGGGCTTCTTGGAACGCAAAAAGATCAACTTTTTCTGGTAATTTGACACCATTGGAAAATTCAGGAGCAACTGGGCAAGTAAATTTACCCATAAAAAGGACTATTTACAGAGGATTTATGTATAATGTATATTCACCATCAGTCAGCAACAATAACAAAGTGTTTGGATATAATAATGACCGGATAGATAATTGGGGAGGGATACGAAATAAATATTTTAAACCACATGTTAATTTTGGAGGGTTAATATGTAACATTTCTAAAGAAGTAACACACTTCTTGGAGACTTTCTGAAAAATCTCGAAAATGGAAAAACTTTCAATGTATAGAGCAACATTAGCCAAGTAAAACGGTTCTAAAACAACGATTCCCATACAAAAATTTTTGAGTTTGTTAATAAATCCACATTATTTTGAGTTTTGACCGAATAAAACAATAAAAATGTATTTATCATTTATTATTATAAAATTTTGAATTTTGTTTTTAAAATAATTTAACAATAAAATAATTATTTTTTGTTAAATTATTAGACAAACGTTATAATAAAAAAATATTCATTAAAGATTGAAAATTTTTTTCATTATATTCAATACAATTATTTCAAGAATATTATGTAATATGATAAATAATATTATGATATTATAAATATACAATTGAATAATTATCATTATAAATTTTTCTGTCACATTATAACAAATATATCAAAATCATACATTAAAAGTGGATTAATTTTATGCATTGTACACGTTTATTGTTCATTATTATTTCATTGATGAATTGTTTTTTGAATTAATGGAATATATTTATTAATAGTTAATTAACTAAAAACATCTACACATCATGAAATAAATGAAGAATAAGTTGATTAAACGAGTTTAAGAATGGACTCTCCGATAATATTACACTCCTCAAGAGTGCTTTCGGAATCTAATTGCTCGCCATTGAAGTCGAGAATTATTTTACTTGGGTCCATATCAAGCTGTTCTTGAAGCTTTTCTTTCACTGTTTCAATGGTATCATCAGGACGCACCGTCAAAATTATCGACTTTCCAGTGAACAGTTTGACGTATATTTTCATGTAATTTTTTTCAGTTCTTTTTCTGTTTGTTTGTGTTTCGAAACGAAAATGACGAGTAAAATTTAAAAACTTTTAAATTTTATTTTAGAGTAAAATTTTAGTCTTTTATAAAAATACAAAGTATTTTTAATGTTTTTATAACATTGGATAAATTATAATAATACAACTATAATAAAATAATTTATTAATTTATTATTATTTTTATAATGAAAAAATGAGAATGTTGTTTTAATTAAAAAAGTTTTAATTTTATTTTATATTTATAAATATGTCCATCTTTTTAACTAAAATTATCAATTTTTCTTAAATATTTTAATGAAAAATTCGATTTATTCATTTTTCAAATTATTTTTCTTTTTAACCATTCTACAATCATTAAAAATAACTAAAAACAAATCAATTATTTCTAAACATCACAGCAACCCATTTAACTTGTTTATAAAGAATCTGTAAATTCATTCTACCAATGCAACTTGAGAAAGTGTATCTTATGAATGTTGTTCTCTACCTCCCATTAAAGGATGTCTTCAATTTTGTGTGTATTTCCAAAAACACACAATCGGCCTGTTCTCGTCTTAAAACAAATCCAATTGACAAATCAATTGGCTCCCAACAATTTTGCAAAATCGTTTCGACTTTCTTCAAGAATATTGAGACCTTAACGTGCGATTGTGAAGAATTAAAACTTATTGGAAACAGCTTAGATAAACTAGAAAACATCTATTTAACTGAAAGAACTCAGGATCTCAAATACTATAATGTCCAGTCTACTTTTTATCCAAAGATAAGAAACTTTATTATGTTGAGTCAGTATAATTCCTATGAACTACTTTCTTCTCTCGAGAACATCAAAGAAATAAACATAGCTATCTTTTTCCTTGATAGAGTCGACTTTATGCAAATCCTTAAAACTCGAAATATAGAGAAAATCACCATAAAAGTTACTGATCAGTTTGATTCTAAGATTTGTAAACCAGATTATTACCAATGTATCAATGATTTGTCTCACTCATTCCCACAAAGCAAAATATACATCAAAGTCGTTATTAAAGAATTTGTTTTCAATAACAAAAAGCTTTTCTCTAATCTTCCAAGTAATGTGTACCCATACATGACCATTTTAAGTCATGATGTTCCTCTTGAAAAATCATTGGACTGGATTGAGAAGTTTGAAGACAAATTTAACACCAACAATTATAGTTTCTTTGAAAAACATTATTTAAATGATGTTACTGTGTACCGATCAGACTTTGAAAACGTGGTCCATTCAGCAAGTGATTATAACCCAATAACATTAAATTTAACAACACTTCAATCAGTAGAAAATATTAAATTTGATAAGAGTGTTGAATTTTACAACAAAATTGTTCTGCCAGGAAGCACTAAAAAACTGGACTGTGAAGGGGACTTGAAAGTGATAAATTGGGACGATTTACAAAACTTGGAAAGAATTGATTCATACTACTCAACAAATACCCCACAAAAATTTTGGGATATAGAACACTACAAATACAATAACAATTATACCAAATCTATCAACAAACTGCTTGTTGGATTTACACCGTTTTTTGCTGTCTACCCATTCGTGTTTTTATTGATGGCAATTGCTTCTTTTGTTGTAAATCAAAGTGTCGAAAAAACAGTTCAAAACCTCGAAATTCCGTTTTTGGTATATTTGTTGTGTATATGGGCGTTTTATTTTATTGACTCTGAGCTGACGGGTATGTCCATTATTAAAAATAAATTTGTTATCATTTATTATGGTATTGCGCTTGTTATAGTAGCAATAGTACAAAGTGTGTTTGCCAATATGTACTACAAGACCATCGATTTGGTGTTTGCTTTTATATTCGTGTTTAGTGGAATTGTGTTTTACTTAAAATATGTATTTGGTAATCACTTGTTAGTCACAAGAAAGGAAGCGTATCTTCAAATACTAAGCCGAAAAACAAGGAAATATATGCCAAAACACATCACCGACAATATTCTATATTGGAGCGACGGTTTCTCACAAGATGGTGAAATCCAGTTTTTTATACTGGCTTTTTGTATCGACGCATTTTTGTTCTTGGGTGGAGTGTCTTTTTATTCTTGGATCATCTCTTTGATTCTTTTGCCATTCTGTACGGTCGCGACATTGTTTTTGGTGTATCTGGTATTTCATGGACATGATAAATTTATTGGCGGATAATTCAGTTATCGTTCTAGTTTAGTTTTGAATAAATTTGAGTTAATAATGTTTGTATGTTCAACTTAGTTTATATTATTATAAATGATTGACTTTATAAATAACAGGTATAGTTTATTAATTAAAATAATATTTTTAAAACAATTAAATTAAAATTTATTTAAATTAAAAGTATCAATTGATATAGCAATTTTTGCTCTTTTTTTTTCAATTAATTTGTGGTGTGTTTCTAATGTTTCATCATAATTCAAAGCGTTTATTAGGTTTTTCTTTTTTTCTTCTTTATCTTGAATCAATTTAAAAACACCTTCACAAATTAAATAGGATTGTGATATGTCAAGGTCGTTTGTTTCATAATATGAATATTGAACACCATCTGTGAAATTTGCAATATCATCCTGTATCACCTCTTTGGGCAATAAACTGTTTTTGTTGATTCCCACAACGAAATATAATTTGCTATTGAAATAATTTTTATTTGTTCCAATTTTTAATTGAACTTTTTTGAAATACTCTTTGGCTACAATAAAACTTTGTTTGTGTGTCAAAGAAAAAACAAAAACAAAGATGTCTGAGCGACTAATCGTAATTTAACAGTATTATAATTAAAATATAAAACATACTAAAAACTCGAGCTGTGCACACGTTCTTCTGTTTTCACTTGTTTTAAGAATCAATCAGATAAAGTTTTATGTAAAACAACAAACATAAGTCTATTATAGTAATATCAATAAAATGGCGATCAATATAAATCGTGTA